ATGTTTGTATGTATGTATGTATGTATACACACACACACACACACACACACACACACACACACTGTCAAGCAGAGTCAAGTTTGTTCTATAAATTAAGTCCTGTTGCTTTCAATGAGTCTATTGCACTTACAGTGGTGCCTCGTAAGACGAAAACAATTTGTTCCATGAGTCCCTTCGTATCGCAAAAACGATCGTCTTGCGAAGCGTGGTTTCCCATAGGAATGCATTGAAATTGCCTTCAATGCATTCCTATGAAACACCTTGCAAGCCACATTGAAATTGCCTTCAATGCATTCCTATGTAACACCTTGCAAGACGAATGGCATTTTTTTTGTCTTGCGAGCACCACTGCAAGATGGAAAAAATCGTCTTGTGAAGCACGGCCATAGGAAAAACTGTCTTGCAAAGTGCCTAGGACATTGCAAAACGCTTTTGTTTTGTGGGTTTTTCGTGGCGTGAGGCTTAGTGCCTAGGACATTGCAAAACGCTTTCGTGTTGTGGGTTTTTCGTGGCATGAGGTTTTCGTCTTGCGAGGTACCACTGTACGTCTAAGTTTGGACCCAACTCGATGTAAATAAACCAGTATATTTCAGCACACTATCCCAGATAAAACATACTGTGAGACTTAACTTCCCTGTTTCCAAAAGTTGGCACATAATTAGGAATATTTTTAATTTTCCACTTGACAGAGTTTATTAACTTACTTTAAAGCAGGTGATCTGAAAAAAATGTACTGTACTTTTCTTTAATAACAGATTATTTTTAAGGGACCACTCTTGTTCTATCTTAAGAATTTAAGAAATAAAAACTGCACTCTATTAAAAAATTACCTGGTCCAATTGAAAAGAGGGAGCCTAGTAAAATACAGTAAAGTACAGATTTAAAAAAATACTATGGAGTTTTAGACATATATTTTTAAATGTACTGTGAAGGACACACGAGTAGTATGTACACAGCTTGTGAAGATGTGTAGTATTATTTGCATGCTAAATTATTTGCTCTCTCTAAATGCATGAATATAAGGAAATGTTGACTAAGTAGAATTCTTGACCTTTTCTTAATGAAATGTTTTTAGATCTGTCAAACAAGGTTTCTTTTGGAAGGAAAGAAAATCAAAATACTCTGGGATTATTTTGCCTAAATACTTCATATGCTGCTGCTAAAAAAATGGGTGCCAGCTGTACAGAAAAATGGCTGCCACAGAATAATAGTTATGAGTTGTTTCCAGAGATAAAAACCATGGGCAACAGCAGTCTTCTTGTTTTAGTTCCATGCACAATGGCCCACTTCACAAGTGGCTGCATTTTCCTGGCACTTGTTTAAGAGGTTATTCATTACTCTTTTGTGCACCGTGAAACCTTGTTCCTTTAAATCAGTGGTTCCCAACCTTGAGTCCCCAGGTGTTCTTGGACTAACACTCCCAGAACTCTTCACCACTAGCTGTCCTGACCAGGATTTCTGGGAGTTGCAATCAAAGAATATCTTGAGACTCAAGGTTGGAAAACACTGCTTTACCAGGATTTCTGGGAGTTGCAATCGAAGAATATCTTGGGATTCAAGGTTGGAAAACACTGCTTTTAACAAAGCATCTCCAGGTTGCATAGAGCAGTAAGTCCATTATTTGAAGACTCTGTTATTGCACTGTGGTTTACTCCAAAGGGAAGACTGACAGGGCTACATGCACAGGAAAAGTATATTAAAAAAACCGAAATAAAAATAAGAACAAACTGACAGGGCTACATGCACAGGAAAAGTATTAAAAAAACCCAAAATAAAAATAAGAACAAAATGTCACCTTAAAGACTAACAGATTTATTTCCATGTGAGCATTTGTGGAATAGAGTCCATTTCCTTAGAAACAAGTTATGAAGGTAATGGATTGTAGTAATTAGAGATGGGTATGAACCACAGATGTTATGCAGATGTTATGCCTGCACAGATGGAATAGAGTCCATTTCCTTAGAAACAAGTTATGAAGGTAATGGACTGTAATAATTACAGATCTTATGCAGGCACCATGCACGCCCTTCTCCTGCCTCCTCTGCACACTCACCAATTCCCTGGGTGATGCATGCTTCCCTCCCAGCATCTCCAGTCCACTTTATGGATCACAGAGCGGTTCCCTCCTCCACCCACTCAAAGGCAGCACTGCAGACTTCCCTGCCACGTCTCCTCGTCTGATTGGGCGGTGGCTGGAAGAAGCGGAGGAGGCAAGCGACTGGTATGATAGGTGACTAGGCAGTCGCACTGGGGAGGCAGGGAGGGAACCATGCATCACCTGGAGAATGGGCAGGCACTCAAAAGCGGCGGGAGAGGGGAGCGTGCAGTGCCCTCATAACACCTGTGTGAGCATGGCACCAAACTGCCATTCATGCCCATCCCTAATTTTTAACCATGAAAGTTCACCCTGAAACATAAATCAGTTTATTCTTAATGTATCACTGTAGCTCTATTTTTTCTTTTGTTTTTGTTACACATGCTGAAGCAGATTAACATGGCTACCTCTCTGAAAAATGTGCAGAAGGAAGGCTGTCTCTTGGCTCATCAAGTCAAAAAAAAAAATGGAACAATCTAAGCCAAACAACTGAGTTAAGAAATTGAATTGAGGTTTCACTGCGCAAAAAAGAGTAAGTGCACTCTACTTTTCATCCATATTCCGACACCTTTATTTCCACTTCTTTATTCTAAGATTATCAAGTGTACTATTAAATCGAGAAAATATAGTGTATACTATATGGAATAGGTTATACTAATACATGCCTTCAAGCCACAACCTACTTATGGCAACCCTAATGGGGTTTTCAAGGTAAGTGAGATAGTTAAGGAACAGTTTTACCAGTGTCACAAGCCCAGTGAGTTTCTTAGGCTGAGTAGGGATTTGAACCCAAACTTCTGAGCCCTGTTCTGTAACTCTATCCACGACACCACACTGGGTATCCACATGGACCATACAGGTGAAAAATTCCATCCCTTAAAAGGGGAAGAACATTCATAATACAGTGGGGTCTCTACTTAAGAACTTAATCCGTATTGGAAGGTGGTTCTCAAGTTGAAAAGTTCTTATGTTGAATCTGCATTTCCCATAGGAATGCATTGAAAACCATTTAATCCATATCTGCTCTTTTCCGTCCATAGAAACTACAGTGGAACCTCTACTTAAGAACTTAATCCGTTTTGGAATGGTGTTCTTAAGTTGAAACGTTCTTAAGTTGAAGCAAAATTTCCCATAGGAATGGACTGAAAACCAATTAATCCGTTCTGGCTGTTTTTTTGTTATGTAGAGGTGTGTTTGTACTGTACATTGAAGCATTAGTTCCCATAGGAACTAATGCAAAGCTGGTTAATACATACTCTACCACTAGGGGGAGAATTTTTTTTTTAACTTAAGATGACCTAAGGTTAAAAAAAGAGCAGGAAAGGTTTTTTTTCCTGTTCTTATCTTGGATTTCTGTTCTCAAGTAGAAGCAAAATTTAGCAAATGGAGCTGTTCTTAAGTTGGATTGTTCTTAAGTAGGGGCGTTCTTAAGTAGAGACCCCACTGTATGTTATATTTTATTGTTTTCAACAGTGTGTGTGTAAATTGTAAAGGTGAATGGAACAAAATTAACCTCTCTAATTTACTGCGAGCTGAAATTTCACTTTTCAAAACATCTCTGCCATCCTTTGGGGGATTGTTTTGTTTTTTTGCTACTGCATGTATACTCAAAAGGACTCCCACTGAATCTATGGGACTTACTCCCATGTAATAAGATAGCATCCAAAAGTGGTCATATCAGTTAGCTTTCCTTCTGTCACACCATCTGTTGAACTTACATCTAGTTGCTCTTCTTTTAAATACTGAAATTTCGTGTCCCCTCTGACTTTTTAAAGAGAAGTCTGCTTTTGTATACGAATGTTAGAAAAAAATTAAATACACATTTCCTTCACATAAACAGGAAACATCTATTTGACACAGTAATAGGAGGTTTTTTTAAATGCACTGAAAATCATGACTTCACCACACTTTGAAGGAAAAACACACAAAAATTATTTACTGACAAAAATCACATTTTTTCCTAATACTAACTGGTTACGCCAATAGCCCAATACAAAAATTTCTATCTGTTAACAATCTGTGAAAAGTTTGGGTTTTTAACATACCTCTTAGAAAGCCACAGCTTGGCTTCAACACAAGTGATGATATTTGTCAAGTCATGCTCAAAATCTGAATTAGCTTTGTGCTTGGAGTCCAAGTAAGAGCGCAGCAAGTAGAAAACCTACATTGAAAAGAAGTTGTAGACAGTTATGATAATATTTTCCAAACATCCTGTTCCTCAGCTTTTGGCTTGGCTTTGCGCAGCAGAAGTATTGTAGCCAATAAGTGCAATTATTGCTACATGTGGAGGTTTTAAGTTCTGACCTGTAAGCCACCCAGAGTAGTGCTTGCACTAACAGGGCAGGATATAAATGAAATATATAGAGAGTATATAGTATATATACAGTTCTCTCTTTAACAACACTGGCATTAGGGGCACTGGATTCTCATGTAGTTCAAAATCTGTGTATAACTCTTATGCCCCCAAAAATGTAACTGCAAAGCATGAACAGTCAATTAACACAGAGAGAGGGAGAGAAAACAGTTCTCTCTATTGGGGTTCTCTTCCATAATGCCGACGATCCTTTTCATATAGTAATCATGTATGGTCCTTATGGGCCCCTAAGCCAGAGGATGAATTAATTAGAGGTAGTATGTTTGGGGTCAAGTAGACCAAGTGTTGAATTCATCGGGTTCTGTGTGGCCAGGGCACAATATTCATTACATATTTATTTATTGAATACTTATTTATTTGAATATTTATTTATTGGGGGAAAGGCCCAGAGGGAAAAGACACGAAGCCGGGCCTTCTCGGCGGTGGCTCCTCGCCTTTGGAACAACCTTCCTCCGGAAATTCGCAAGGCCCCAACACTGGGTACTTTCAAATGCCAACTGAAAACATGGATGTACATCCAGGCCTTCCCTCCTGTCAACTACTGATTTCTTTGCTTTGCTATTTATTATTTATTTTGTTCCTGCACTATTTGTTCCTGTTGTATGCTAATGTTTTTATCTTCTCTCCAATACCCCCCTCCCGGACAAATTCATGAATTTCAGTGAGTGAGAAAGCAGGTTTGGATGATTTTTCCAAAGAAGAAAAGACAACTTCATAATCTCTTTCCTGGTAGTGTTTCTGATCTCTCAGAACTGTAGCTTCCTCAAGGTGCTTTTCATGGAACAAATAAAATAAAATAAATAAATATAAATATAAATACAGATACTGTATAGTTGTTATAGATAAAACTGATGAGGGGAAACTTAGCCTCCAGCAGAATGACCCTCTATAGCTTGGACAGAAAGTGTCAGCCAAGGCTGCATTAACTCTAAAGGTACATAACCTGAAGACCCTGTTCTATGTTGCCCAACAGCACACACTTCACTGAGCAGACCGCCTACTTTTCACAACCATTCACTTTCTATAATGTGAAACACATACGCACATGCACGCACACAAACCACTATGTATATAAATACTGCTTTTTATCATACACTAGAAACAAAAATTAATTGTATTTACCAAGAGAGACTCCCTGCACATATCATTTGTGCAAAATAAATTATCCAAGAAACCAGTTAACTTCCAAATTGCCATTTTTGGGTTTCCCATTTCTCAGAGTAATCTTTTTTCCCTTTTTAATATCTGTATACATATTTTTCCTAGATTTAATTCTGCCTTTTAATGATGTCAACTACTGTTGTCTATTCATTGTTTTAAACTTTAAATATTGTCTTTCAACACTGTAAGACACCTTGGGTCCGTATCATGGAGAAAAGTGGGTAAAAATATTTTAAATAAATAAAATAAACTGGGACTCTTTGTGAAATTCTTTTCTTTCCCTTGTTTCCCCTCCATACGCTCCTTTTCTGCTCATATGAGAAAAGACATAGATGTTTGGGGCGTAAGAATTTTACATGTATTACACACCCTTCCCCTGTCTTATTTTTCCTCTCAAGATTGACACTTCCAACAGTGCCTCCCTGAAAGAGGCCAAGAGACTAATACACAATATATAAGAAACTTCTATTTCTTAGTTTGGCTTGGGTCAGACAATATTTATTATGGTCTGAAACAAATATTGTGGCAAAATTTCTGGAACTCACCAGAAATATTTCAAGATGAACCAGTGACTTTGGCCAACAACTCAACTCACTTAGCCAACACTATTTAGGTTTAAATAGGACTTTGCATTAAAATGAACTATAACTATAGGGTGTATGTTCATATCAACCAGACTATAGGAGCTAGATCTCAATCTAAATATATGGCCTGCAAAGGTAGTACGGAACCACACACAGTAGAACATTGTGTGGGAGAAGGATTGTGTTTCATATGATGGAGCTGAAGCACCAATCCACAAAAAAAAGAAAGAAAGAAAATTCAAGGAGGGCTTGTGAGGCTAGGAGTACCTCCAGAGGCACTCCACAGAGTGTTCTGTCCATCTCTTGGAGGAAAAACCTGTCTACCTTAAAAGAAGATTTACAGGGACTGTCTGGAGAAAGAGCCACTAGAGGGTGCCATTTTGGCGGGAAAGGGAGAGGAGATAAAGGGAAGGAAGGAGGAGGAAGGAGGGCAGTTGGGCACAGAAGATGAGGAAGCTTGTTGGGTGCAGGAGGAAGAGAAAGCTGACCAAAAAGAAGACTGGGTAGAGACAGCGCAGGAGGACCCCTGTACAGGGGAGTGGACTGAGTTTAAAGTCCCGAGAGAGTATGCAGAGAAAGAGTGGAAGAGACAAGTCTATAGTAAGCCACCCTATTGAAGAGAAACTGAAGAAAGAGAAAGGAGAAAGCAGTTCAAAGCCTGGCAGCAGCGGGAGAACCAGAAGAGAGAACACAGACAATGTATGGAGAATCCTGGGAAACCCTTCCATTCAGACCGAGCTTGAGACAAAACCCAGGCAAGAAGGTATGGGAACTGCAGGTGGGCAGGGGTTTCCACTCTCCTCAATGACACCTAACACAGGTGCAACCGATGCATCACGCTTGCCATCAAAGTGGTATTGCAGAGTTTTAAGTCCGTCACCCTCATCGTTGAAAGGGGATTTGTTAAAAGTTTGAAGATGAGAAAAGTTATTGCCTGTCCCTGAAGCAAGAGACAGGAACCCTTGTTAACAGAGAATTTGATAAGTTGTCAAAGAATAAACGTGTTTTATTAGAAGACCTTGACGTTCATGACTCGTCCTTATACCAAAATGTGACAGATGGAGACAGAATCACAGGGCTGTGTCTTTACTTTGTCTTCTTAGGCTCTTTTATGTTAAAAAAGGTATTATATAATAATGGAGTTGTAAGAGGCCTATAAGGCTATTGGGTCCATCCCCCTGCTCAATACAGAAATCCAAATCACAATATATTGGATAGATGGCTGTCTAAATTTCTCTTGAATGCCACCTGTGTTCGAGCTCTCACCACCTCTTGAGGTAACTGGTTCCACTGTCATACTGCTCCAACAGTTGGGACATTCGACAAATATCTGGCTTCCTGTAACTTGAGCCCATTATTACTTGCCCTGCATTCTGGGAGGATTAAGAACAGATTTTGTTCCACCAATGTATGATGATCTTTCAAGTATTTGAAAAGTGCTATCCTATCTCCCTTTAGTCTGTTTTTCTCAAAACTAAACATGCCCAATTCTTTCAGTCTGTCCTTGTACGACTTGGTTTCCAGCCTCCTGATCATCCTTGTTGCCCTCCTCTGAAATGTTCCAGTTTGTTGACATCCTTCTTATAGTGTGGTGTAGAAAACTGATCAAAGCATTCAAGATGAGGCCTCACCAGTGTTTGAATAGAGGGGAACTGTTATTTCATGGGATTTGCAGACTACACTTCTGTTCATACACCCACATCGCACTGTTGGTTCATATACAGCTTCTCATCTACAACAGGTCCAAGATCCTTCTTACTTGTAATATTACTAAGTACCCCCATCTTACAACTGTGTGCCCCCCGGTATAGAACTTTGCACTTATCCCCGTTAAATTTAAATCTGTTGTTTACAGCCCTGTGCTTGAGCCTATCAATTTTTTAAAATTTTCTCCCTGTCTGCCAGGGTATTAGCTATTCCATCTAAATTTGTGTCATTTGTAATTTTGATAAGCATTCTCCTCATCCAAGTCGTTAATTGAACAGCACCAGGGCCAGGACTGAGCCTTGTGGTATCCAACTTGTCAACTCCTCCAGTATGAGAAGGAGCCATTGATAAGCACTCTTTGCATACTATTCTATAACCAACGGTGTACCCACCTGACAGTTGTTCTATCCAGCCCACACCTAGTTGGTTTACGTACTTATTAGAATATAATGGGGCACTTTGTCAAAGACTTTGCTGAAGTCAAGATATATGTCTACAGCCTTCTCACCGTCTACCAGGGAGTTACCCAATAAAATACAATATAAGATTAGTCTGTCAGGATTTGTTCTTGAGAAATCCACATTGACTTTTGGTAATCACTGCATTGTTTGCTTCTGGTTATTGCTGCATTGTTTGTAGAGTGAGCACTTTATGATTTCTTCCAGAATTTCCCCTGGTATTCACGTCAGGCTGTCTGGTTCCTCCTTTTTGAAGATATGGCCAACGTTAGCCATCTTCCTATCATCTGATACTTAACTCATCTGCCATGATTTCAAGAAAATAACAGTGTTCTGAGAGTTCTTCAGCCAGTGCATTCAATACACTTGGATGCAGTTCATCTGGTCCTGGAGATCTGAACTCATTCGAAGAAATAAGGTACTGTTTGAATGTGTTTATCAGTCTCAAGGTGCAACCTTGTCCCTTCCATTGAACTTCACAAAGAGAGGGCCATACACTACCTTCTGGGAGTTTATCAAGCTTACTAAAGCCCAAAGTAGAAGTGCATTGTAAGCATGGTATAGGAAAAGAGTGATAGATGCACAATGAAAATATAATATAATAATAATCTGAGATCTGCTTCTGCCTCCTATCAGGTTCTCAAAGATAATCTAGGACTTCATCTGATTTTTGCAGTTCTTACACACAACTACAAGTCTGTTTAGAGAAATGTATGCATAAAAGGGAGGTTACAAATATTTGTAAAGCCCTTTTATTGAATCCAGTCACATTCTATGTTCCCACCAGCTCAAAGTCATACAGCATGCTTAAGAACTTATTCAAAATGAAAAGCTTCATACATTCTCCCTGCAGTGTAATGGTTTTCATAACAGCAAT